GGTAATTTTTCTAATGGAAATGAAGAGGGTTGTAGAGGAATTACGTTGGATGTAGAGGGTATTTGTGTGAGGACTAAATTTGCCATCTTTATGGGAATAACCTTTGACGATGGGGGGTTAGTGTTTCGATTAGTGGGTGATTGAATTGCTAACTGTGACTTATTTGTAGTAAGGTCCTTTTTAATGGCGGCAGCCAGGCCAGGTCTCAGGGTCGGACGTTCCGAAGGAAGTTTCATCGATCTTGATCTACCACGTCCAATGCCCGCAGGTGGAGCGGCAGGCCTGGGAGAGTGAGGAGAACTCATCTCGCGGGTCCTTTTCTGTGGAGTTGGAGCCATGTCGCCCTAAAAAAGGAGCAAAAAGAGTATCCAGATCCCAAGTCGGCTTCAGTCGCCGAACTCTTATTTTATTTTAATTATACAGATTAATAGTGGTGAAATCACCATAAGTCAATAAATTAATTAAGTCTATACTTATTATTCTATATAGTATTTATAATTGTGATTAAAAAATAATAAAACAAAAAATTTCCTCTTACGGCTTTGGATAATTGGATAATTTATTCACTATAAGGTACGTGAAGATATGTATATATATAAATTATAAAATAAAATATGTATGTGGTAAGAGAGTGAGGATATTAATTATGATTAAACTTTATTTAGATTATGATAGTGAAAAATATGTGCCTATTTATATTTCAAATATTAAATTTAGTTCAACATCTATAATTCAAATCAATTATTATATAAGCTTTAGAAAACAAATTAATATAAATAAGCAAATAACTACAGCCCAAGAGGAGGAAAGGAATATTGTGATATTTTGAGTGTATATTAAAAGTAAACAGGAACGACTTTACCTTGAGTCCAAAGACTTGAAATAACCTTGTGTATTGTTGATGATCAAAATTGTGTCCAATTCAATAAATTAATGAATAAATCAGGCGAATGTTACAGCTCGATATAGTGGAATAAATTTAAAGATGTAAAATTTGCATGTAGAATTCCAGTTCCTTTAAAACGCACTTATTATTGAGTAAATAAAAGCTTTCCGTTATCGTGGATTAGCAGTAATATTTAACTGTAGTGTGTAATATGGCCGAGCATGTGATGAATAATCAAGCCAGATTCCACTCAAATCTGACTCAAAATAGGCCTTCCGTTATCCAATTCACAAATATTTCGTTGCAAATAACTTATTATTGTAGACAATATAAATTTTGACTTTTTATTAAATTTAATAATTTCGGTAAAAATAGTAATAGATTTCTCTTATTCTTAGTGAGGTTATCTCACCGAAAAATACTTTTAGAACTATACTCGAGTGTGGTCTACACAAGACTCTTTTCTTTTTATAATTATTATAATTATATTGATGCGACGTTCTTCTAAAAGGTGTTAAATAGTTAAAGCATTTTCGATCCCCACTCTTCATTAGATGCGCGCGCAGTGTTCAGTGAGAGGGGAGTCACTCACACGCTGTTTCTATAATCATTAGCAAAAAATTGAAAGCAATTAATTGTCGATAAACGATAACATTCTGCCTCACATTGAAACTCAAAACCTACTATTTCTACCACAATGTGCAATTATTACTTTGTCTAATAAATTTACTTCATTTTGCAGAAATTTAGATTATCTAATTTCCGAAAGTATTTTGCCGAAAATTTTCTGCAAACAATCCAGACGTATTTTGTCATAATAAGTGTAATTCGTAGGGAAAGAAGAAGAGAGAGATAGAGAGAGAGAGAGAGAGAGAACGTCAGACATTAATGAGGAAATACTAATGACGCAGCGAACAAAATAATTACTCTGAGGTTCGCTGATTCTGAAATCAAACTGGAACTTTCTCGCTGTACTTAAGCCCTCGTAATTAGACCTACGCTTTCATAGTTGGGTGATAAAGAACTTTAAGACGGTCCTTAAATTCGAGACAAAATTCCCCGGTTCACGAGAACTTGAAAGCATAAAGAAGTTTAATTTTCACTTTGTGTGAAACTTTACATTGTGACAATTTCCAAATTTAACACAAGGCGTCGCGTCCCTTGCTTTAATTGATAAAGTGAGATACGCAACTCAAATAATCAATTATAATTAGTTCGAAAAGTTCAATTATACGCACGATAAATAAATTAGTCCCTTAAATTGATCATTCTTTTTACAGTCGATGTTCTTCTTTATTTTTAAAATTCCGCGACAGATTTTTAGATTTTAAAAACAGCAGTGTGCCATTATTTGAAATGAAACATTAATTTTCATCGTGTTCTTGTTCTTCAATTTACCATTAGAACATGTAAATTGTAAATTATAAAGCAAAAAATCATTTTAAAAATTGATTAATGTAGACGAAATTTTGAAAAACAAATATCTGGCTCTGTATATATAAAAGTTTTCCATTTTTAGAGAGCATAGATATAAGAGGTCTGACATTTATCAAAGTCTTATTTATTCAACGTCTTCCTTTTCGTTAATTAATATTACATTTCAATTATCGACATTCACGGATTGTTTTACTATTTAATTGCAGTCTGAAAAAAAATTACAATTTTTACAAAATGTCATTGGAACATTCACTTGGGTATAAGTGAATATTCAAGAATTTAAGATTTCACTATTTAAAATCAAATTCAAATACCATTTTTGTATTCTTATTTATGCAAATATATGTTAAATGGAATAGAGAGCAAAAATAGTTGCAATGAATTTTACTAAAATTTTCAATAATAATTGAATTTCTTGAGAAGAATTTTATTATTTATACAAATAATTGAATTTCTGATAGAAATTTTATTAAAATGTTTAAAAAGAATTGAATGTCTGTGAAAAAATTTGTTTATTTTGAAAATAATTGAATTCTTCATAAGAATTTTATAAACATTGTTTTAAATAGTTGAAATTTTTTTTAAATATATTATTATGAAAATTTTATTTTAAATAATTGAATTCTTGTGAAAAACTTTATTTTTGAAAATAATTGAATTTTTCGATTAATTAATTTAAAACAGTATTAAAAATAATTGAAATTTTTCGATTAGTTTTATTTTTTTTAAAAATAATTAAATTATTCAGAAAGATTTTATTAAAATGTTTAAAAAGAATTAAATAATTGAATTTCCAAGAAAAAATTTATTACTTTTAAAAATAATTGAATTTTGCAAAGAATTTTATTAAAATGCCTCAAAGTCAAAATAATTAAATTTTCAGAAATAATTTTGTTATTTATCTTTAATAATTAAATTCTTTCGAAGAATTTTATTAAAATCTAAAAAAATTAAAAGAATTATTCCAAAAAAATGTAATTAAAATTGAATTTAAAATAATGGATTTCTTTCGAACAATTTTATTAGAATATTTGAATATAATTGAATTCCTGTGAATAATTTTAATATTTTTGTAAATAATTTAATTATTCCAAAGAATTTAAAAAAGAAATTTGTAATAATTTTTTTCGAGAAATTGAAATTTTTTAGAATAATTAAATTTTTTGAGCAATTCCTGAAAAGTTGTATTAAAAATAATTGAAATCCTGATATGAATTTTATTATTTATAAAAATAATTGAATTTTATTAGAACTTTCAAAAATAATTTAATTCCTGAGAAGTATTTTAAAATTTATGAAACTAATTGAATAACTGCGAAGAATTTAATGTCAAATTTTAAAACATTTAATCTCCGAAAAAATGTATGCAAATTGAATTTTAAATAATTGAATTCTTGTGAAATTTTTATTTTTTATGGAAAATAATTGAATGTTTTTATAGAATATTATCAAAATTTTTTGTTTAATAATTGAATTCTTTTAGGATATTTTATAAAAATAGTAGAATATTGAAAATCATTGAATTAAGAAACATATTTGAAAATAATTGAAGTTTTGCAAAGAATTTTATTAAAATTCCTGAAAATAATTTAATTTTGTCGAAGAATTTTGCTATTCATTTATCAAGATAATTGAAATATTTAGAAACATTTTTTTTTATCTTTTGAAAATAATTGAAATTTTGCGAAGAATTTTATTAATTTTGAAAATAATTGAATTCTTGTGATGGATATTGTTATTTATGAAAATAATTGAATTTTACAATAAATTTTATATACATTCCTGAAAATAATTGAATTTTGTCGAAGAATTTCGCTATTCATTTATAAAAATAATTGAAATGTTGATAATTTTTTTTAGATTTTTTAAAAATAATTGAATTTCTGTGGAAAATTTTGTTATTTTTGAAAATAATTGAATTCTTCATAAGAATATTATTAACATTGTTGTAAATAACTAATTTTTTGAAATATAATAAATACCATGAAAATTATATTTTAAATAATTGAATTCTTCTGGAAAACTTTATTTGTGAAAATAATTTAATTTTTCGATTATTTAATTTCGAATATTGTTAAAAATAATTGAAATTCTTCGATGAGTTTTATTATTTATGGGAGTAATTGAATTCTTGCTGAGAATTTCATCAAAATTTTTTTAAAAAAATTGAATTTCCATAAAAATTGTTATTATTAGTGAAAGTAATTGAATTATTGTGAAGAATTGTATAAAAATTTTGTTAAATAATTGTTTAATTTCATTTTTTCGAATTTTTTTTTGAAAATGCTATTCTAAATTAATTGAATTCCAGTGGAAATATTATTATTTATGAAAATAATTGAATTTTGGATTAATTCTGTCAATTTTTCTTTTAAATAATTGAATTGTTTTGCGAAATTTTCTGAAAATACTAAATATTGAAAATAATTGAAGTTCGAATATTTTTTGAAAATAATTTAGTCGTTTTAAAGAATTTGATTATAATTTTGGAGAATAGTTTTTTGATTTCTAGTATTAGCCTTTTAGGCTCGCCTGTAATGGTAATTTGAAGCGCACCGTCTGTAATTATTGCCTTCGGGAGAGGGAAGAAAGGGAGAAAGGGTGAAAGGTCATTGACACCCGAATGCATGCAAGTTCGTGTGGTTGTGTAATTGAATTAAATTCTTTTACGACGTACTTGTCCTTCCGTCAGGCAGCAGCGTGTCGAGTGCGTTGAGCGGATATGCCGAGCAAGTGATATTACTATATCTCCAGAACTCTCGACAAGACAGCTCCAGCATCTCACGAAAGACTTCAGCACGTCCCAACTGGCATGCGAGTGTCAGCGGAGTTAGCCCGGCACTATTCACGATCCCATTGCGAGCAGGCAACTTCGGATGTCGTAAAGCGTAACCGAACATGTCCTGAAAAAGAAATTTTTATAGCCATCCAACCGTTTCTATTTTTTTTTTTTTTTTTTTAAATTTCCAACTTTAAAACGTTATTATACGCTTGTCCATTCTCGGACGTAAACATATTCAGAAAGAACAATATTTTATTTCAATATTGTTGACAATTTAACCGAGAACCATTTTTAAGGTTGCCACAGGTCAGGGAATTCAGGGAAAAGTCAGGAAATTTTATTAAAAGTGCTGGAAGAAATTCAATGTTTAGAATTTATAAGAAAAATTCTGAATTCTTGTGTCATTTTGTTTGACTCATAAACTATGAAATTACCACGAATTCTAAAAAATTGTTTTTAGGAATTTTAATAAAATTCCTTGCAAAATTCAATTATTTTCACAATTAACAATATTCATCACAAGAATTTAAAATATATTTTTCTTTTTAATGATTTTCAATATTTACTATTTTCATAAAATTTAACAAACAATTTTATTATTAAAATAAATTCTTGATACAATTCTACGAAAAGATTCAATTATTTTCATAAATAATAAAATTTCATTTAGGAATTCAATTATTTTCATCGCAGAATTTCAAATATTTTTTATACAATTTTAAATAAATTCTTTTCAGAAATTCAAATTTTCAAAACATTTTTAAAAAAAATTCTCGACAATATTTTAATTATCTTTATAAATAGCGAAATTCTTCCCCAAAATTCAATTATTTTCAGGAATTATAATAAAATTCATTGTATAATTCAATTATTTTCATAAATAAATAATATTCATCAATTCAAGAATTCAATTATTTTCAAAATTAATAAAATTCTTCGCAAAAATTCAATTATTTTTAAAACATCAAAAAAAAAATTTCGTCAATATTTTAATTATATTTATAGCTCTGTGAAACAAGCGACCCGCCGGCCGCCAGCCATCAGAAGAATCCATAGGCGCCGACACACATAGTAGCGCGGTGGCCCTCTACGGTTTAATCAACGCAAAAACAACGTACGCTAGCTATTACAGTTTATAGAAAAAATTGCAATAGTCACATTTAAAACAGCAATAATCTCCCTTTAATTTGCGACCAAGAAACAAGAATTTGGTCGAAAATTGTTCGAGTTATGAATTTTTTTCGATTTTTTTTCCAATTTATTACACTGAGAGAAATGGATAGTCAGATTTTGATGTTAAAAAGATGATGTTACACGATACTATCATTATGCTACTGCCAACCATCACAGATGCTAAAAAAATATAGTTATGCTACCCCGTACTACCAAGATGTTACTCCTGATGATATTGATGGTAACGGTGACTATCTAGATAGCTGTCTGTATACGTAGCATTAAAGATGGTCACCCTAACCACAATTATGTTACCCACTACTATAAATTTCTCTCCGTGTATGAATTACGAATACAAACTAAAACAAAAAATTAAACAAGGACTGTAGAAAATTGCAACCTCCACGCGGCACACTCTGGGGTAATGAATTTATTCATCAGCTAATCGCAGGGATAGAAACACCTTTGCAAACTAAAATCAATATAAAAACTTTAAAAAAAGTACTAAAAAAATTCAAAACTCAAATAGTTTTCTAACAATTTTTTTTTAATAGAAAATAAAAAAGGATTATCGCCTTTTAAAATAAAACAATTGCAAATTTTAATTTATTAAATTTTTAATAGCCAGCGTCCCCACCCGCCCGAATCAGAAAAACGAAAATGGAAAAAAAAGTTCAAAAAAAATTCATAACTCGAACAATTTTCGACCAAATTCTTGTTTCTTGGTCGCAAATTAAAGAGGGATTAATGCTTCTTGTCATTGGACCAATAGGAATATGATTAAAAATTTTTTGATAGCCAGCGTCCCCACCCGCCCGCATCAGAAAAACGAAAATATCGAAATATGTCAAAAAAAATTCATAACTCGAACAATTTTCGACCAAATTCTTGTTTCTTGGTCGCAAACTAAAGAAGGATAATTGCTTCTTGTCATTGGACCAATAGGAATATGATTAAAAATTTTTTGATAGCCAGCGTCCCCACCCGCCCGTATCAGAAAAACGAAAATGGAAAAAAAAGTTCAAAAAAAATTCATAACTCGAACAATTTTCGACCAAATTCTTGTTTCTTGGTCGCAAATTAAAGAGGAATTAAAGCTTCTTGTCATTGGACCAATAGGAATATGATTAAAAATTTTTTGATAGCCAGCGTCCCCACCCGCCCGCATCAGAAAAACGAAAATATCGAAATATGTCAAAAAAAATTCATAACTCGAACAATTTTCGACCAAATTCTTGTTTCTTGGTCGCAAACTAAAGAAGGATAATTGCTTCTTGTCATTGGACCAATAGGAATATGATTAAAAATTTTTTGATAGCCAGCGTCCCCACCCGCCCGCATCAGAAAAACGAAAATGGAAAAAAAAGTTCAAAAAAAATTTATAACTCGAACAATTTTTGACCAAATTCTTGTTTCTTGGTCGCAAATTAAAGAGGGATTAATGCTTCTTGTCATTGGACCAATAGGAATATGATTAAAAATTTTTTGATAGCCAGCGTCCCCACCCGCCCGCATCAGAAAAACGAAAATGGAAAAAAAAGTTCAAAAAAAATTCATAACTCGAACAATTTTTGACCAAATTCTTGTTTCTTGGTCGCAAATTAAAGAAGAATTAAAGCTTCTTGTCATTGGACCAATAGGAATATGATTAAAAATTTTTTGATAGCCAGCGTCCCCACCCGCCCGTATCAGAAAAACGAAAATGGAAAAAAAAGTTCAAAAAAAATTCATAACTCGAACAATTTTTGACCAAATTCTTGTTTCTTGGTCGCAAATTAAAGAAGAATTAAAGCTTCTTGTCATTGGACCAATAGGAATATGATTAAAAATTTTTTGATAGCCAGCGTCCCCACCCGCCCGCATCAGAAAAACGAAAATATCGAAATATGTCAAAAAAAATTCATAACTCGAACAATTTTCGACCAAATTCTTGTTTCTTGGTCGCAAATTAAAGAGGGATTAATGCTTCTTGTCATTGGACCAATAGGAATATGATTAAAAATTTTTTGATAGCCAGCGTCCCCACCCGCCCGCATCAGAAAAACGAAAATATCGAAATATGTCAAAAAAAATTCATAACTCGAACAATTTTCGACCAAATTCTTGTTTCTTGGTCGCAAATTAAAGAGGAATTAAAGCTTCTTGTCATTGGACCAATAGGAATATGATTAAAAAATTATTGATAGCCAGCGTCCCCACCCGCCCGTATCAGAAAAACGAAAATGGAAAAAAAAGTTCAAAAAAAATTCATAACTCGATCAATTTTCGACCAAATTCTTGTTTCCTGGTCGCAAATTAAAGAGGGATTAATGCTTCTTGTCATTGGACCAATAGGAATATGATTAAAAAATTTTTGATAGCCAGCGTCCCCACCCGCCCGCATCAGAAAAACGAAAATATCGAAATATGTCAAAAAAAATTCATAACTCGAACAATTTTCGACCAAATTCTTGTTTCTTGGTCGCAAATTAAAGAGGAATTAAAGCTTCTTGTCATTGGACCAATAGGAATATGATTAAAAAATTATTGATAGCCAGCGTCCCCACCCGCCCGTATCAGAAAAACGAAAATGGAAAAAAAAGTTCAAAAAAAATTCATAACTCGATCAATTTTCGACCAAATTCTTGTTTCCTGGTCGCAAATTAAAGAGGGATTAATGCTTCTTGTCATTGGACCAATAGGAATATGATTAAAAAATTTTTGATAGCCAGCGTCCCCACCCGCCCGCATCAGAAAAACGAAAATATCGAAATATGTCAAAAAAAATTCATAACTCGATCAATTTTTGACCAAATTCTTGTTTCTTGGTCGCAAATTAAAGAAGAATTAAAGCTTCTTGTCATTGGACCAATAGGAATATGATTAAAAATTTTTTGATAGCCAGCGTCCCCACCCGCCCGCATCAGAAAAACGAAAATATCGAAATATGTCAAAAAAAATTCATAACTCGAACAATTTTCGACCAAATTCTTGTTTCTTGGTCGCAAACTAAAGAAGGATAATTGCTTCTTGTCATTGGACCAATAGGAATATGATTAAAAAATTTTTGATAGCCAGCGTCCCCACCCGCCCGTATCAGAAAAACGAAAATGGAAAAAAAAGTTCAAAAAAAATTCATAACTCGAACAATTTTTGACCAAATTCTTGTTTCTTGGTCGCAAATTAAAGAAGAATTAAAGCTTCTTGTCATTGGACCAATAGGAATATGATTAAAAATTTTTTGATAGCCAGCGTCCCCACCCGCCCGCATCAGAAAAACGAAAATGGAAAAAAAAGTTCAAAAAAAATTCATAACTCGAACAATTTTCGACCAAATTCTTGTTTCTTGGTCGCAAATTAAAGAGGGATTAATGCTTCTTGTCATTGGACCAATAGGAATATGATTAAAAATTTTTTGATAGCCAGCGTCCCCACCCGCCTGCATCAGAAAAACGAAAATATCGAAATATGTCAAAAAAAATTCATAACTCGAACAATTTTCGACCAAATTCTTGTTTCTTGGTCGCAAATTAAAGAGGGATTAATGCTTCTTGTCATTGGACCAATAGGAATATGATTAAAAATTTTTTGATAGCCAGCGTCCCCACCCGCCCGTATCAGAAAAACGAAAATGGAAAAAAAAGTTCAAAAAAAATTCATAACTAGAACAATTTTCGACCAAATTCTTGTTTCTTGGTCGCAAATTAAAGAGGGATTAAAGCTTCTTGTCATTGGACCAATAGGAATATGATTAAAAATTTTTTGATAGCCAGCGTCCCCACCCGCCCGCATCAGAAAAACGAAAATATCGAAATATGTCAAAAAAAATTCATAACTCGAACAATTTTCGACCAAATTCTTGTTTCTTGGTCGCAAATTAAAGAGGGATTAATGCTTCTTGTCATTGGACCAATAGGAATATGATTAAAAATTTTTTGATAGCCAGCGTCCCCACCCGCCCGCATCAGAAAAACGAAAATGGAAAAAAAAGTTCAAAAAAAATTCATAACTCGAACAATTTTCGACTAAATTTTTATTTCTTGGTCACAAATTAAAGGGAGATTATTGCTGTTTAAAATGTGACTATTGCAATTTTTTCTATAAACTGTAATAGCTAGCGTACGTTGTTTTTGCGTTGATTAAACCGTATAGGGCCACCGCGCTACTATGTGTGTCGGCTCCTTTGGATTTTTCTGATGGCTGGCGGCCGGCGGGTCGCTAGTTTCACCGAGCCTATATTTATAAAGGAGAAGCAAATTTCTTCGACGAAATTCAATTATTTTCAAAAATTTTAATAAAATTCTTTGCAAAATTTCAATTATTTACAAAAATGTTTAAAAATTTCAATTATCAATAAATAACAAATGTCTTCTCTGACATTCAATTATTTTCAGGTATTATAATAAAATTCATTGTAAAATTCAATTGTTTTTATAAATAAACAATATTCATCAATTCAAGAATTCAATTATTTTCAAAATTAATAAAATTCCTCGCAGAAATTCAATTATTTTCAAAAGATCAAAAAAAAAATTTCGTCAATAGTTCAATTATATTTATAAAGGAAAAGCAAAATACTTTGCAAAATTTCAATTATTTTCAAAAATGTTTAAAAATTCTGTTGAAAATTTCAATTATCAATAAATAACAAATTTCTTCTCTGAAATTCAATTATTTTCAAAAAATTTTAAATAATTCTTGCCAAAATTTTAATTTCCTGTATAAATAATAAAACTCTTCTCCGAAATTGAATAATATTCATACATAAAAATATTCATCACAAGAATTCAATTATTTTCAAAATTACTAAAATTCTTCGCAGAAATTCAATTATTTTGAATAAATCTAAAAAAAAAATTGTCGTCAACATTTCAATTATTTTTATAAATGAATAGCAAAATTGTTCGACAAAATTTAATTATTTTGAAAAATTTGATTAGAATTCTTGTCAAAATTTCAATTATTTTCAAAAATAAATATTTCAATATTTCCAATATTCTACTATTTGAATAAAATTTTCCAAAATAATAAAATTATTAAACAGAAATTTTGATAATATTCTACACAAACATTCAATTATTTTCCAAAAAATAATAAAAGTTACACAGGAATTCAATTATTTAAAATAAAATTTGCATAAATGTTTTCCAAAAAAGTCAGATGTTTAAAACTTTTTTATAAAATTTTTCGCAATAATTCAATTATTTTCATAAATAATAAAACTCGTTGCAGGATTTTAATTATCTGTAATATAATTTAAATCGATTTCCTCGAAAAATGTAATTATTCTTAAAAATGATATTAAAATTTGTCGAAAGAATTGAATTATTTAAAAATTTGTTGATAAAATTAATTATAAGAATTCAATTTCAAGAAACATTGAATTATTTAATAAATTATCTATGTTTGTATTTGAAAATTCTCAAAAGAATTTTTTTGAAAATTATTTAAAATAATATTTGATTTAAAGAAGAATTTTAGTTAAAAATTCTAGAAAATAATAATTGAACCGAATTCCGAGTCGAAGACTCAGAATTATTGAATTATTGAATTTTAAAAGGTTTGTATTTAAAGTTTTTCGAAATTTCGAATTTCGAACAATTTTATTTTTGAAGAAATTAGTATGTATATAAATGAGGCTCCGGATCTTAAAAGGGCACATTTAGCATTGATTTTAAATGGTAAAAGTGCCCTTTTAAGATCCCGAGCCTCAAATGTAATGGAACATTTTTTTTTAATTACCTAATAATTTTGAGAGTGAATCAGAATATTTTTGAGGGTCAGGGAAAAAGTCTAAATTTTTGTCTGGAAATCAGGGAAACAAAAATTTAAAAAACTTCATTTTAGCATCTCAAGAAAGGTAAAACTGTCAAAAGTTGATAATCTTAAGAACTATTAAGATTTCACTATGTCTAAAGTTGTGGAAAATAAATATTACGAGTTTGTAATGCGAATAGCACCTAAGGCAATTTTTAAACATTTCTTAGCAGCTCAAAGTGGTTCATTGCACTCGAAACTCTTTTAGAATTTTTGTTAACCCGCTATCTGGTTAAATAAGTTTTAGAATTTTTCTGTTCCTTAAAGATAAGATTACACACTGTTCCCCTAAACTGTGCGATAACCTTGATAATCAACGGAAGGAAGCATTTGCCGATAAGTATTTCTAAATCCCCAATAATGAGAATAATCAATAGACAAAGCGATAAACAATGATCGGGAAATCTTACCAGCTTATCACAGACGACAACCATGTGCAATATCATATTTCCAAAGGAGTCCTGTTCATCAGGATCGGCTCCCGAATCCAATAGGAGATTATAAGCACTCTCATTAGCACAGCATGCAGCCCATGCCAATGGATATTCCCCCAAATAAGCCAGACCCTCGTAATCGGTGTTCTTGGCAGGTCGATGTCTCTGCTGATCCCTGGGCAAGAAGAAGCTGCCCGTTGCTCTCTGATTTACAATTGCCCCAGCCTCCACCAAATCTTGTACCAATTCATTATTATTGTACGCAATCGCAAGATGAAGTGCACTGGCGCCAAGATATTCCTCTCCCTCGACAACATCAATAGCCAAACGGGGGAAGCACTTTAGTAAAGTACGAGCTATTCTAGTATGCACTCTCGAATCGCAGATGATCAAGACATGAAGCAGACTCTCACCCAATGACCCTCTGTATTGCATTTGCCAGCAGGCCTCGTGGTCACTCCATTGTGAGAGGGGATCAAATCTTGATAACGATGCTTCAATTGGCAAGATCACTTGATCCTGATCTCGGAATTTCCATCTTAGATATTCAGCGCGATTGATCGTTTGACCTTTACCATCGGCGTACATCAGAATACCAAATTGCTCCCTCATCACTCGTTCCACTTCCTGTTGCCCGCCTTGATTGTACGACTCGATTAATTCACCGCCTTTTTTGTAATTAGCGAGTCGATAAAGAAGACACTGATCCTCATTGCCGGCCTGACTGATGACACGATCCAATATCGAACCCGAATTCACCTGGTTCTGACGACCACGACACGAGCACGTACCCCCCATTCAATTTTTTTTTTCTTTTAATCCACTGTTTTAATCCACAACTTTGCAATAAGAAAATTAAAAATTAAAACTTGTAAGTTGTTAGAAAAATTAAAACTACTTTCTTACTTCTTCAAAAAAAAAATTAATTACCAAAATGATAATGATTGGTAATGGTTCCATTACCAAAAGGTTGCCAATTTTCCTTTTCGGAAAGAAATTGTGCGTTTGCCAATTGGAAAATTATCTCCTATCCTAGATTCGACAATGATTACCGTACATTTTACCGAATCCATTTTACCGAACAATTTTTTTTCCTAACGTCGTTTTATCGAATGCATTTTTACCGAATCTAATTTAGGCTTCGCACTCGTCTACTAAAACCTACTATTTACTACTTTTTTTAATGTATATCAAGTTAGCAGTGCAACTTCACAAAATTCAAAAATGAACAATACTATAATTTGCCGTTAATTAATCGCTAATTAATTGTGAAAGAAATAATTTTGTCGTTTAAATATTTTTTTTTATACAGGGTGCCCTGCTAACTTGATGTCAAGTTAGCAGGGCACCCCCTTGAAACTGTTAAATCAATATATTTCGCAGAATTTCTTGCGCAAGAATTTACCGTTTTTTATCCGTAACAAATCCCATTAATCCTTTTGAAAAATAATTAAAGTTGCGAGGGCAAACAAAAGTTTTCGGGTTTAGAAGTGTAGAATAACCACTTTAACCGCACTCATAGGGTTATTCCTGTGTTTTGAATTTACCGCTTGTCGAATTTAAATGAATTGTGTCCGGGAAAAAATCGTATGATTATTTTCAACTTAACATTAGATAATATCAAGTTAAGCCAACCTCCTATCTCAATTTTTTATATTTGTTTTCATTTTTATAAATTCCACACTTTCGCCACTAGTTGTGCAATGTACTATTGTACCAAATGATCAAAATATTAGTGTACGGAACCCGCTATTTCAGTGCAAGTGAAATTCGCACTTGCCCAGTTTTTTTTAAATGCCGTCTAACATAAAAATAAACAATTATGAAAAGATAAAAATTACTTCGGAGGCGAGGGAATTCAATTATTTTTAAAAGTAATAAATTGCTTTTTGGAAATTCAATTATTTTCTTGTATTGATATTCTAAAAAATTCAATTATTTTTTTTTTAAATTTGAATAAAATTCTTAATAACAAAATAATTATTTTCATATAAATAATATTTTTCTCTGGAATTCAATTATTAAAAAAAATTTTTAATAAAATTCTTTGCAAGAATTCAGTTAATTTTTATAAATAACAAAAACTTATGTCAGAATTTCAATTATTTTTTATATAATTTTAAATGAAATGATAGAAAATTGCATTTATTATTAAAATTTTTTTTTTAAATTCGCCGAAAGAATTCAATTATTTTTAACAATTTTGATAAAATTCTTCATAAAAATTCAATTTTAAGAAATATTCAATTATTTAATAATTTATTTTTGTATTTAAATAATTGAATTCTCGAAAAATTTTCTAATAAAAATTGATTAAATAATGAATTTTACTTAAAATTTTAAATTATAATTTAAATATTAAGAGCATTGTAGATTAAATATTTATTTAAAAAAGAAGTTATTTATGTTTTCGAATAATTTTAGTTTTGAAGAAATTTATAAATAAATGTAATAGAAAAGTTTTTTGAGTATCCAATAATTTTTAGAGTAAATCTTACTTTTTTTTGGTCAGGGAAAAAGTCTGGAAATCAGGGAAAAGTCAGGTAAAAACAAAATTAATTTTTTGTCCCAAACTCTGTATAAACAATTAAAAAGAAATTTTTTTTGTTTTTAAACCCTGATTTATATACTGAAATTGAAATACTTTTATACATTTTATAAATTTTTACTTACAAATGTGTCCATTTATTACAATCATTTATTTTTTTCAGGATCTTGTCAATTCGGTAAAAATTGCATTCGGTATAATTTCAGGAAAACGAGCTTGAGGTAAAATGGTCATTCAGTAAATTTTTTATTCGGTAAAATGGATTCGGTAAAATGGTCGGGAACCTTTGCCAATAAGTGTTTTATTTATCCTCACAGAAATAATTTTCCCTTACTGGAAAGCATTTAAGTTTAAAAAAAAGAACTCTCAGCGTCTCTCACTCTCTCTCAAGATAAAAATAGAATTTCCACTGAAGTAGATAACGTCCAAACCATGAATTGTACCATCTAATTCCAATTTACTGTGATTCGGTTATCACAACAAAAGAGTCTTATTTTTCTTGATCTCTCTTTTCTCCTGTTATCCACGTGATAAATCCTCGGATAAATCAAAACTGGTCATGATAAGTTTGTAAACAAGAGACCCTCAATGGAGTTCTTCATCATCAGTGGAAATGAAGGGAAAACGAAATGTTGAAAAATTAAACTTGTATTGGTTGTTGATGAGGTAAATATTGTCATTTTGTTTGCCTCCCTTTTTTTTCTCCCTCTCTTTTATAAAGTGCCCTTCGCCCTGGCTCACCTGGTTGAACTAATCCTGATTTAGTTTGTCTGCTCAGGTTGAAGGCTTTGTCTATAGCAACGCGGCACTTGCGCAATCTATAAACAGTGCCAGGCTCTGCCCGATACGATAAGGTCACTAGGTGATGAAGAGAAAATTTCCCCCAAAAAAAAACAACTCTAAATCCTATTCACTTTATCTGCTATCCCAAGCGGTGAAAATTATACCCGATTTATGCAAAATTTATTTTTTAAAAAATTTACTAAAAATTTATTTTACAAAAATGATTAAAAATGAAGATTAGAATTTTTAATTCTTTCCAAATAAAAAAGCAGTTGAATGTAAATCAATTTTATTTTTGCATTTTAGGAGATACTTGCGAAATGCTGGTCAACGGACTTGTTTTTTCCGAAAGCGTCACTTCAATGATAAGAAAAGTTTTTAATACAAATTTTTTTAAGTAAAGCTCTAGTTATGTACTTTTAGGCAACAAATAAATTTTCTTAGTTATTTTCAAAAATTTTTCAAAATTCTCGTAAAATTTCAATTATTTTTATGAATAATAAAATTGTTCTCCGAAATTCAATTATTTTCAAAAATTTTAATAACATTCTTGGCAGAAATTCAATTATTTTTAAAAACTTCCTTTTAATTTAATAATTTTTAATATCTATTATTTTAATAAAAATTTTCCGCAAGAATTCAATTATTTAAAAAGAATTTTAATAAAATTTTTGTCAATATTTCAATTATTTTCAAAAATTTTAATTAATTTTAGTAAAAATTTCAATTATTTTTATAAATAATAAAATTCTTCTTGGAAATTCAATTATTTTCAAAGAATTTTAAAACATTTCTTGCCAAAATTTCAATTATCTTTATAAATAATAAAATTTTTCTCCGAAATTCAATTATTTTCAAAAATTTTAATAACATTCTAGGCAAAAATTCAATTATTTTTAAAAACTTCCATTAATTTAATAATGTTTAATATCTATTATTTTAATAAAAATTTTCCAAAAGAATTCAATTATATAAAAAGAATTTTAATAAAATTTTTGTCAATATTTCAATTATTTTCAAAAATTTTAATTAATTTTAGTAAAAATTTCAATTATTTTCAAAAATTTTAATTAATTTTAGCAAAAATTTCAATTATTTTTATAAATAATAAAATTCTTCTTGGAAATTCAATTATTTTCAAAGAATTTTAAAACATTTCTTGCCAAAATTTCAATTATCTTTATAAATAATAAAACTTTTCTCCGAAATTCAATTATTTTCAAAAATCTTAATAACATTCTAGACAAAAATTCAATTATTTTTAAAAACTTCCTTTTAATTTAATAATTTTTAATATCTATTATTTTAATAAAAATTTTCCGCAAGAATTCAATTATTTAAAAAGAATTTTAATAAAATTTTTGTCAATATTTCAATTATTTTCAAAAATTTTAATTAATTTTAGTAAAAATTTCAATTATTTTTATAAATAATAAAATTCTTCTTGGAAATTCAATTATTTTCAAAGAATTTTAAAACATTTCTTGCCAAAATTTCAATTATCTTTATAAATAATAAAATTTTTCTCCGAAATTCAATTATTTTCAAAAATTTTAATAACATTCTAGGCAAAAATTCAATTATTTTTAAAAACTTCCATTAATTTAATAATGTTTAATATCTATTATTTTAATAAAAATTTTCCAAAAGAATTCAATTATATAAAAAGAATTTTAATAAAATTTTTGTCAATATTTCAATTATTTTCAAAAATTTTAATTAATTTTAGTAAAAATTTCAATTATTTTCAAAAATTTTAATTAATTTTAGCAAAAATTTCAATTATTTTTATAAATAATAAAATTCTTCTTGGAAATTCAATTATTTTCAAAGAATTTTAAAACATTTCTTGCCAAAATTTCAATTATCTTTATAAATAATAAAACTTTTCTCCGAAATTCAATTATTTTCAAAAATCTTAATAACATTCTAGACAAAAATTCAATTATTTTTAAAAACTTCCTTTTAATTTAATAATTTTTAATATCTATTATTTTAATAAAAATTTTCCGCAAGAATTCAATTATTTAAAAAGAATTTTAATAAAATTTTTGTCAATATTTCAATTATTTTCAAAAATTTTAATTAATTTTAGTAAAAATTTCAATTATTTTTATAAATAATAAAATTCTTCTTGGAAATTCAATTATTTTCAAAGAATTTTAAAACATTTCTTGCCAAAATTTCAATTATCTTTATAAATAATAAAATTTTTCTCCGAAATTCAATTATTTTCAAAAATTTTAATAACATTCTAGGCAAAAATTCAATTATTTTTAAAAACTTCCATTAATTTAATAATGTTTAATATCTATTATTTTAATAAAAATTTTCCAAAAGAATTCAATTATATAAAAAGAATTTTAATAAAATTTTTGTCAATATTTCAATTATTTTCAAAAATTTTAATTAATTTTAGTAAAAATTTCAATTATTTTCAAAAATTTTAATTAATTTTAGCAAAAATTTCAATTATTTTTATAAATAATAAAATTCTTCTTGGAAATTCAATTATTTTCAAAGAATTTTAAAACATTTCTTGCCAAAATTTCAATTATCTTTATAAATAATAAAATTTTTCTCCGAAATTCAATTATTTTCAAAAATCTTAATAACATTCTAGACAAAAATTCAATTATTTTTAAAAACTTCCTTTTAATTTAATAATTTTTAATATCTATTATTTTAATAAAAATTTTCCGCAAGAATTCAATTATTTAAAAAGAATTTTAATAAAATTTTTGTCAATATTTCAATTATTTTCAAAAATTTTAATTAATTTTAGTAAAAATTTCAATTATTTTTATAAATAATAAAATTCTTCTTGGAAATTCAATTATTTTCAAAGAATTTTAAAACATTTCTTGCCAAAATTTCAATTATCTTTATAAATAATAAAATTTTTCTCCGAAATTCAATTATTTTCAAAAATTTTAATAACATTCTAGGCAAAAATTCAATTATTTTTAAAAACTTCCTTTTAATTTAATAATTTTTAATATCTATTATTTTAATAAAAATTTTCCGCAAGAATTCAATTATTTAAAAAGAATTTTAATAAAATTTTTGTCAATATTTCAATTATTTTCAAAAATTTTAATTAATTTTAGTAAAAATTTCAATTATTTTTATAAATAATAAAATTCTTCTTGGAAATTCAATTATTTTCAAAGAATTTTAAAACATTTCTTGCCAAAATTTCAATTATCTTTATAAATAATAAAATTTTTCTCCGAAATTCAATTATTTTCAAAAATTTTAATAACATTCTAGGCAAAAATTCAATTATTTTTAAAAACTTCCATTAATTTAATAATGTTTAATATCTATTATTTTAATAAAAATTTTCCAAAAGAATTCAATTATATAAAAAGAATTTTAATAAAATTTTTGTCAATATTTCAATTATTTTCAAAAATTTTAATTAATTTTAGTAAAAATTTCAATTATTTTCAAAAATTTTAATTAATTTTAGCAAAAATTTCAATTATTTTTATAAATAATAAAATTCTTCTTGGAAATTCAATTATTTTCAAAGAATTTTAAAACATTTCTTGCCAAAATTTCAATTATCTTTATAAATAATAAAACTTTTCTCCGAAATTCAATTATTTTCAAAAATCTTAATAACATTCTAGACAAAAATTCAATTATTTTTAAAAACTTCCTTTTAATTTAATAATTTTTAATATCTATTATTTTAATAAAAATTTTCCTGAAGAATTCAATTATTTAAAAAGAATTTTAATAAAATTTTTGTCAATATTTCAATTATTTTCAAAAATTTTAATTAATTTTAGTAAAAATTTCAATTATTTTTATAAATAATAAAATTCTTCTTGGAAATTCAATTATTTTCCAAATTTTTTAAACAATTTAATTTTTTTAACAATTTTTAAACAATTCTTACCAAAATTTCAATTATCTTTATAATTAATTAATTAATAAAACTTTTCTCCGAAATTCAATTATTTTCATAAATTTTAATAAAATTCTTGGCAAAATTTCAATTAATCTTAAAAACTTTCTTCAATTCAATGATTTTCAATATCTACTATTTTAATAAAATTTTTGCAAAAGAATTCAATTATTTAAAAAGAATTTAAATAAAATTCTTGTCGATATTTCAATTATTTTCAAAATTTTTTTTAAATTCTCGTCAAAATTCCAGTTATTTTCAAAAGTTTTTTTAAAATTCTTGTAAAAACTGCAATTATTTTCCAAAATTTAAAAAAATTCTCTCAAAATTTCAATTATTTTTATAAATAATAAAATTGTTCTCTGAAATTCAATTTTTCTCAAGAATTTAAAAATAATTCTTGCCAAAATTTCAATTGTCTTTATAAATAATAAAACTTTTTTCCGAAATTCAATTTTTTCAAAGATTTTAATAAAATTCTTGGTAAAATTTCAATTATTTTTAAAAGCTTCCTTCAATTCAAAGATTTTTAATATCTTATATTTAAATAAAAATTTTCCAAAAGAATTCCATTATTTAAGAAAAAATTCAAAAAAATTCTTGTCAATATTTTAATTATTTTCAAAATTTTTTAAAAATTCTCTTCAAAATTTCAGTTATTTTCAAAAATTTTCTTAAATTCTCGTCAATATTTCAATTATTTTTAAAAATATTAAAATTCTTCTTTAAAATTCAATTTTATTTTCAAAAATTTTAGTAAAAATTTCAATTATCTCTATAAATAATAAAACCCTTCTCCAAAATTCAAAATTACTTTTGAAAAATTATAATAAAATTCTTGGCAAAATTTTAATTATTTTCACGAATAATAAAAT